CAACAACAAACTTAACGAACTTCGATACCCCATTCTCGTACTCTTTTGACAATCGATTACCAGACATCCATTTTTTATCCATACTAATTGAGTAATCTACACTAAACTATGAAAGTTAAACAAAACAGAGAATACCTGTAAAGAAATCACTAACTTCTAAGAATGCTACACAGTAGGATGCTTGGAAACGATCACAACTTTGCTCTTCACAGGTAACCCCTATAGCAGACAAAATATAAATTTTATTAAAATCATATTAATAATTAACCAAACCAAAAATACTAGATAATCTACCAAAACAAATCATATTAAAAATACTAGATAATCCTTAAACCAAAATGACACCCTTACTAAATATTGAGAAATCCTAACTAAACATATAAAACCATAATAACATATAAAACCATATCATATAAAACCATATTCATGTTGGCTACTCTCTTAAAAAATAGGAATTTCCAAACTATATTGAACACGCAAAATATAAACTCTTGTTTGTCAATCTAAAACATACAAAATATAAACTCTCTTAAAAAATATAATCTCTCTTAAAAACATATTCAACAGAGAGACTTAACATATAAACTCTCTGTTAAGACATAGAAACTCTCTTAAAAAACTCTCTTATAAACTCTCTTAAAAAACTCTCTGTTTATAAAAACTCTCTTATAAACTCTCTTAAAACATACAAAATATAAACTCTCTTAAAAAATATAAACTCTTGTTTGTCAATCTAAAACATACAAAATATCCGTAACAATGACAGAGAGACTTAACATGTAGATTAAAATACAAAATATATAACATGCAACAGAGAGACTTAACATGTAGATATCCATACAAATAATAAAAACATTTGTCTTAAAGATTACAGAAAATGACTTAACTTGATTGCATTCAAATAATAAAAACATATTCAGTTTGTCTTAAAAGTTACAACAACAATGGTGAAAATATAAGTAAAAAAGAAAACCAGAGTAAAACTTCAAATACCGTAACAATGGCAGAAATGCAATGCAGACGAGCAGAGGATATCGAAAACGGACGGTGAACGGCGGCGAAATGCAACAGAGGAGGGCGACGGTTGGACGACGACGGTGGGTTTATAGGGCAACGTTCTTTTTTCGCCAGAGAAAAAGAAAGAAAGAAATACGATATGACTGTTCTGTTTCTTATAAAAATTATGGTGGGTATTTTAAATTAATTCTAGCTAAACCTATAGCAGCGCTTTTTAATGGCTTTAGCAGCGCTTTAAAAAGCGCTCTCAAAGATCTTCTTATGTACCACATATATCAGCGTTTTATGGAAAAAGCGCTCTCGTAGACTAGACCTACAGTAGCGCTTTAGGAAAGCGCTTTCATAGGGCTGTCTTAGACCCCTCCTTTAGCAGCGCTTTTTAGAAGCGCTGTCTTAGGTCCCCCCTTTAGCAGCGCTTTTTAAAAAGCGTTGTCTTTGGGCTCCCCTTTAGCAGCGCTTTTCAAAAAGCGCTGTCTTAGGTAAGTAATTTTTTTTCTTTTTTTTTAATGCCTCTTTAGCAGCGCTTTTTCTAAAAGCGTTGTCTTTGTATGCGCTGCTAAAAGTCAATTCTGGCGTAGTGTTTCCACTTAGTTTATCCTATTTCCAATGAATTGTGAAAAATAAACTTAAGTTGGAAATATCACAAACAGTTTGTGTGCACTCGACACGTCGAACACTTGGTGTTAAGAACACTCAAAGTTGAATTTTCTGATAATTCTAGTGCATAATTTTTCACAATTGCAATCCAAGAGGTTGTGATTAGTTTTGCAAAATAGAATTTCAACACTACACAACAGAGGAAATTTATCGAATAATCAAAATCGTACAAACGTTAATAACACAAATAAAAGATATAGAGAAAGAGAGAACAACACAAAATTTGTTTAGGCAGTTCTCTTTTTCACCCTCGCTTCAGGTACGTTTGCCCCCAATTTTAAAACTAGAATTGAGATATTTATTATCATGTTGCAAAGTTTATACAAGAGAAGCAATAGTCAACACACACTCAAGCTAATTGTTAAAGTTGATAATATTCCCTTCTCTCCCCTTGATTCAAGTCGAATCAAGTGCGTCAAACGCTCCGAACAAACCCCCGATTACCGCTACTTGTCTGAACGAACCTTCCATTCTTCAAACCTTTCGCTCGACTGATTTTGATCGCATGACATTTACCCCAAATCTTTCTTCACAATCCTCCGGTTACCGTTACTTGTTTGAGCCGAACCCACTGTTCTTCAAACCTTTCACTCGATTGAGTCTGTGAGGCAAAGATTTGTGCAAAAAACCGCAAATCCTCAAGATCTTGGAGGGCAAAACCCCAATGTTTTTATTCAAGAAAAACCCACTGAAAACTCAACTCAAACAAGATACACAATCCTACGTTTGCACATTATCACCTCGACAATGCACAAGATCAAAAAAAATTGTTATGTGTAATTCTTGAAGAATGCAAGTGTAAGAATGACGGTGATGAGAAAATCAGTGTATATTTTTCACTTTTCTTGTTATGTCCAGTACAATGATTAGACAAATGAATATATATGATGCCTAGACCCAACACCTAACATAACATCATTTTGAAACATAACAGATCAGAAAAATTGACTCAAAGCAGCGAGCGGTCAACCAAGGCATCAGGTGGGTCGACATGAGAACACCTGAATGCAAAACTACACAAAAAATTAAGCGATGTGCCGACCGGGACAGGGCCATGCGTTGACGCAAGCTTACTTCAAAACAACAGATTTTAATGCTTTCAGTATGAGTCGACAAAATGGTCGACGCGAGCAGACCCGAGAGCAAATGATTATTAATCAAGATGTATGTGTCGACCAGAGCAGGACTGTGAGTCGACGCAAGGACCTTAAAATATCAAAAACCAGTTCTTTGCTAACAATTTGGTCCACCTAAGCCATTTTTGTGTAGACCTAAGTTACCTAACATGATCAAGTGCACACTTAACATATATGAGATGCTTCTATATGCATAGATATCATTGTGCATTTTAAAGAATGAATGCAATCAAAGACACGGTGATACCGTTCAAAGTACAAAGTACGAGTTAATACAATTTTTGACATCATTAAAATAAGGACTAAAGAACCTTGCCCTCACAAGAAAGACTATATGGTATGACTTTTTGAGGAACCGTTACGGTAATTATGAACACTCTATATTGATTGGAAAGTTATTAGGTGGGAATCTGATATCCTTTTGAAAATCAAAGTGTTTGGTTGGCAAGTTTTGTTGGATAAATTAGCTTTCAAGGATCAATTGATAAGAAGGAAAATCATTAACTCGCCTCATGACCTTTCGTGCGCCTTATGTTTTCGAGTTGACGAATGCTTAATGCATTTATTTGTTCATTGTGTTATTTCTAAACTTGTTTAGGAAGAAGTATGCAAGTGATTAAAGATAGAAGGTGTGGAGGGTTCCGAAATTGTCGACATCTTTTTGGGTTTTACTTCTGTTTTGGCTAAGGTTAGCAAGTTTAGAGCAAGTGTGTTTTGGTGGGCGGTTTTGTGGAGGATTTGGAATCAAAGAAACAAGATTCTTTTCGAAGGCGAGAACTATAACGTGAGCAATATTGTGTGGAATGTCAAGTTCAATAGTTGGAAGTGGTCTTTGATCGTTGATATGCCTAAGTACAACTTTAGTTTTTACGATTTTTGTATAGCTCCTTTTCAATGTAAATCGTAGTCTTTAGTTGGTTTGACATATCTATTGTACTGCTTTCCGGGTTTGACTATCTCTTATACTCTTTTCATTAAAATCTCTTGTTTAAAAAAAAAAGAGAGATTTGATGTGGACATAATTAAGAGTCCAATGTGGGTCGGCAGCAGCTTCCCACGTCCCACAATCAATGCCACAAATGGGCATCACATGCCTATCTTCATTGCGTTGAAGAACCTTATTGCATGCAATGAACCTAAATAGTTTAATAGTATTTTCTGTAAGTATACTGAAAATATTGTCTTTGTATGAGTTTTTCCAAATTTGTCCTTTATAAAAGGACCTTCCTAGTTTAGATAGAAGAAAGTGATGCATTAGGAATGCATTAATCCACACGACCGTGTCTTAAGCCGCAAGATTAAATTGAATAGTGTATGCTTCACGTTATAGCATATCTGTTTCCTTTGAGACTCATAATAATACTAATAATAATAAGCTGCTAATGAAGAACTATTGATTATTGATATCTTCAAACTTTGGAAAAGACAATTTTATTACAACTTGAATTCCCCCTACGTGTACCGTAAACGAATAAAACAAGAGTTTCTAATAAAAAAAATGATAAAGTCCATTATAATCTTAAAATACTTATGTACTGTGAATATGTATAGTCCTAATGAGGAAGCATTAATCTTTTTATGAAGAAAAAAAATTAAGCTTTCTTCAATAATAATAGAAATTGATGTCATGTAATTTTTATCTATGGGGTTGATAGTATACTTATTTACCAAGTTTAGCATATTGAACCGATTAGATATTCTCAGCACATTTTTGCTTGCCATTATCTTCTAACTTTGGTTTCAAGGTGTTTGTTACCATTGAGTAAGGACAAGGTGAAACTTATCTACAAGATTGAAGAGAAAAATTATTGGAATTTACTTCAATATAGTGTAAAAAATTTTACTTTGTCAATTCATCGCCATTATCAGTGCCGTTATTTTATAAATTGTTAAAATAAAAATCAAATTTCTTTCTTCCTCTAACGCCTGTAATTAATTGACAGTATAAAATTTCTTTACACAATCGGTGCATTTCAATTAAATCCATTATAAAAATATATAAATGAATGGTTAGAGATTACAAACCAACATCTTATATTCGTCTGACTTTTAACTTTTTCCAAAAAAAAGAGTTTAATTAAATTAAAAATTAAAAATAACCACGTAGATATTAATCTTCAATTAATTAATCTTTATCTCCTCTTGTGTGTCTATATATAAGGAAGCACATGAGCCTCTCCATGAAGCACAATGAGAAGGAGTAACATCCCCTCATCATCAGATCTCAAGCAAGCAGAAGAAAAAAGTAGCACCAACATGAAAGAAATGATGAGAAATACGTCAACTTCATCTTCATCGTATGATCATAATGAGATCAAGAAAAAAGAGGAGTCTGCAGAAATTAATCATAAGAAACTAGAGAGGAAAACTACAGAAGACGTTAATGCTAGTGCTGATGCATTCATCAAGAACTTCAGGCAACAGTTGATGATTCAAAGGCTTCAATCCATTGAGAATTATGAGAAAATGCTTGCAAGAGGTCTCTAACATGTTCGATATGTCTGTGTCCAACGCTAATATATATGATCACGTGTTTAATATATTTATTAATATGTCAAATTCATGTTTGTGTGGTTATTAATAGCTTATGTATTCTTCATCTTGGTGTTGTTATTGATGATTTGATTTAATTAAATAATTAATTAATAAAAACTAATTAAACTATCTTTTGTATGAAGTATGTTTATTAAAAAAGAAAGGATAAATAGATTTTTCATTTATTTTGACACCTAGGTTGATGGCTTATCCTTATGTGAGCCAACTGGTGTTAGGTTAAATTTAAGGTAGAAAATATCATAATGTAAAATAGCTGTATTTTAAAATCCATCAACATTTAGTTAAGATTGAAGGCCCGGTTGATAAGATAAATATGTCAACTTGGAACAAATTGCGTGATGTAACATATAATAGGCAATGAATAGAAGTGATAATTAAATAAAAATAATAGGTGCAGCCGTGTTTTGTGAATCAGAGATTAAATTATTACATTAATTTGATTTGTAAAATAAAAAATATTACTATCAAACTTTAATTTATTCAAGAGAATGAAAAAAGAACGAATAAATGCTAAGTAAAAAAATGCAAGACTAAAGACGAAGCTAAAGATTATACAAAAAAGAGATCAAAGGTACGAGAATTGATTATACTAAGAGAAGATATTAACATCCTAAGTATTTGTAGTACTCCATAGAAACCACTTGAAATATCTATATTCTTGCTAAAGTTGTTTGCTATTGATTGGCAAGGTTGATTGTTTTTAAGTGATGATGAGAATGTAAAATGTTTTTGTTATTTTTTGTAATGTGTATGAATAGAAGGGGGTGAAAATAAAGAGGTGTGCTCGCTAGGTCGCAATCCATTGCCTACATATTCCTAGAGGAAGTTAGAGCATTTGTAGTTCGGGGAACTATGAGTAAAAATAGTGAAAAAGGGAAGAATGTGAAAAAGAAAAAGAGTGCTCACCAAGGATTCAGACCTTGTGCCTTCGTATTCTTAAAAGGAATTTGAGAAATCAGAGCGTATGTAGTTCGTGAAACTAAGGATTGTTAGGGTTCTAAGAACCAAGACAATAATGGGGAAAAGCTTGAAAGGCAAAACTTCTGAGGATTGATTGTAAATGTAAAGTGATTAATGGTCATCTCTTATGAAAGGATTTCAATGAAGAGTTAAATGTTTGTAAAGGGAGGAGAGATTAATGGCTATCTCTATGACAAGGTTTGAAGGAAGGGTTACAAAGTACAAGAGATTAATTACTATCTCTTGGAAAGGTTAAAAGTTTGTAGATAAAAATAGTTTTGAGTTGTAAAAGGGGCAGCCCTAACTTGAGTGTCTAAGTTGAAGGTAATCTTAAAAGAGACTTCCTAGGGGATTGCAAGTTCTAGGATTACAAAAGAGATATATGTACAAGAGTGTACTCCCTCCATTCTCTTTTATAATCAAAATTTGACTTTTTAGGTTCATTGAATAAATAATGTATGTGGACAATATATATACTAGATACATTAATTATTCAATGAATCTAAAAAATTAATTTTTTTTTATAAAAGAGAATGGCAGGTGTGTAAGCTAAATACAATATTTTAGAAAATAAATAAAATGTAAATTAAAAGGAATTCTTGAACTAAAATGAAATACAAATTAATAAATATTTGATCTTTTTCTATGATTAAAAGTGTGAAATAAACAAAAATAAATAAATAATTTTAAACAAAGTAATAATAAATTTTAAATGATAAAAGTTTAAATAATTTTTTTTAATAAATAAAAGAAATAAAGAATGTTTAAGAAAAATGAATAAACAAATTATATATATATATATATATATATATATATATATATATATATATAAAATAAAGGACAAAATAAATATATTAAAAAAAATTAAATAAAAAAATAAAATAGATAAAAGGAAATTTGAAATAAAAATATAAATAAAAAAGTTAAAATAAATAATAAAAGATAAATAAATAATAAAAATAAAATAAAATAAAAGTTTGATTTAAAATAATAAAATAAGAAAAAGAAATAAAATAGAATAAATAAAATGGAAAAGAAAATAGGAAAAAAAAAGGAGAGAGAGAATCTCATTCCTTAAATAACAAATTACATGACCACATGTCACGATATCATGCTGATCATGATGTTTAACAAACAAGGAAAGAGCACTTACAAATGCAATGTAGTGATTCCTACGGCTCCACTGACCTCCCAGGAATGTGTTAGAGTGGTTGAATTGAGCTGAGACCTTATAGAATTCAACTTTATCAATGCTTTTTGCAAAAATCATAACTTTCAGCTCAAGTAAAATAAATCTTTATTCTTGGACTCGGTGGAAAGCTGGAAACATCCTCTACAACTTTTATGTTGACAATTTTTCTTGATTCAATTGGGATCATGGAGAAAATTGGCCACCAAAATTGGAACTTTTAACATTTTGACACTAGAAACATTCTGGATGTCTTGACATCTTTGGCAATTAAGAAATCCAAACTTTAGCACTTCATAACTTCCAATCCTTATGAAATTTTGATCCAATCTTTGCACCAAATTAAAATATGAAATATCATCTTTAAATACATCCCTTGGGCCTGAAGAGTGGTGGATTGAATTGATCACAAAGTGTCTATAAAGTTATGCATTTGGCAAGGTGAAAAACTTAGAAAAATATCTAAGTGTTTTGGATTTTCAAACAACTTGAAACTCCAACTTTGAACATCAATAACTTCCACTTCAAGAAGAATTTTACCTTGTAATTTTCATCAACTTGTAGTATGGAATGCCATCTTTCAAATAAGTCTTCAAGTGTTTTTAATGGATGCTTGAGGAAGAAGTTACAACTTTGGAAAGTAAGCAAAAATCATAGGATTTCCATAACTTAGAAAAATTCTCGAAAACCCTATTTTGACAATTTTGATATTTTCTTTGATTTTATTTATTAATCATGACCAAATGCATCCCTCAACCATATTTTCATGATTCTTGATTTGAGGAGTCCATGGTTGAGTAAAAGTCAAACTTTGACTTTGTGCACTAGTTGACTTTGTAAGAGATGAATCCAAATTTGCAATCTTCAAAGGATCAAACTTTTTGGGAAATTTAAATCATATGAGTGGACTTCAAAGATGCATTTGAGACCCTTGAATCATGTCTTAAAGAAGAGAATCATCCTTAGATGAAAAAGTCAACTGTAAGCATTACTTAGTCAAAACCTTAATTTGGTGCATCATATGAACTTGAGGCTTGATGAGTTTGAAATGATGCAATCTTGCACTTGATTATTGATAAAGGGAAATTCTTTATCTTCATAAATGAATGATAGACTTGAGAAGTTGAAGATCACACCAATCTCTGGCTAATCATTAGTCTGAGCATCTTGAGGCACAACCTAGCTTTTAAAGCAAGCAAGCACATATTTTTGTATTTTTAATTGGTTAGTGATGCATAAACACACACACATACACACACCCACACACACACACATGTAATGCAAAATTTTATGTAAATGATGCAAATGAGGTGGAATCTTAGGGGTAAAAATTAGGATATGACAGATGCCCCTATTTAAGTTTCTTCTTTCCAGAGATTGAAAAGACTTAAATACAAAAAAAAATGCATAAAATTTTGACCTAACATAATGCAAAGATGCTTGTGATATGATATGGATGCAAGACTCTGAGTTTCGTGGGGGATGATACCATAGGAGACAGATCTACAAGATAGAATTTCACTAGGGAAAAAGGTTTAAATTTTTGGGGGAGAAAGTAATAATCTTAAAGAGACATTCACTAGGGATACAAGATATTATGGAAATTTGTCAAGGTGGCAAAGAATATCCAGCAATACTTGGAAAGAGAAGTACAAAACCTGGGACAAAGATAAAGATATCTGAGAAGGCATCAGATGTAAAGAAACCAGACATTCAATAATAGCATCGAATGAAAGGTATAATCACAATATCTGAGAATATAATCAAATGAATATAGGAAAAGTAGAAATCCAAGAATGGTATTGGATGTAGAGGAATCACAATATTCAAGAATGTATTGGATGTAACAATATGAATATCCAAGAAAGCATTGGATGTAAAGGAAACACAATATCCAAGACAACATTGGATGTAACATTATGAATATCCAAGAAATCATTGGATGTAAAGGAAACATAATATCCAATACAACTGAAATTCTGGTATGCAGATCTCATATGTCCTAAGAGATGCAAAGAACATTGATCTCTGCTGAAACAGAACAAGGACAGAACATGACCAATTTAAATTACTTTAAACTGTACCAATGTCATGACGTCTGTTGTAACATCAGCAGACAGACAGACTATTTATCTAACCATTTAAATTATGCAGAATGGTAAATGCTGGAAGATAAATAACACAATGAATTTTTCACCCAGTTCGGTGCAACCTCACCTACATCTAGGGGCTACCAAGTCAGGAAGGAAATCTACTATTAGCATAATCAATTCAGAGCTATACTCCTTGTTTACAACTCCTCAATTAATCTTTACCCAATGCAATTTCTTCCTAGAATCCACTAGACAAGAGACCTCGCCCACTCCCCCTCAATCACCGCAGTGATAATCAATTTAATACACAAGACAAACTTTAGAAGACACTCTTCAAAGTCAAAATACTTAATTTTGCTTTACAGCTTCAATCAAGAACAATGCACTCTTGCTTAAAAGCTTTGAGTGACTCACTTAACAGACAACTTAAGAACTCTAGACCAATGCAATCATACAGCAGATAATTGCTTGGTGTACAAGTATTCCTAAGACACACAAATACACATGAAGAACACAACTCTTCACTTACAGATACACTCTTGCTTAAAAGCATTGAGTGAACAATAAGCACTGTATTAATAACAGCCTAAACATGTCTACCATGATGCATCCAAAGATACAAAGGGTGACTTACAAGGTCACACACAAAAGACTCTTAAAGCCCTAAACCTTAATTTTACACTCAAGTT